CCTGAGCCTCCTCTTCTGCAGACTAAACAATCCCAGCTCCCTCAGACACTCCACATAAGGTTTGTGCTCCAGACCCCTCACCAGTTTCGTTGCCCTTCTCTGGACACGTTCCAGGGCCTCAACGTCTTTCCTGTAGTGAGTGGCCCAAAACTGAACACAACATGAGGTGCAGTCTCAGCAGTGCTGAGTAGAGGGGGATGATCACCTCCCTGCTTCTGCTGGCCACACTATTTCTAATGCTGGCCAGGATGCCGTTGGTCCTCTTGGCCACCTGGGCACACTGTCGGCTCATGTTCAGCCGAGCATCAACCAACACACCCAAGTCCCTTTCCTCTTCACAATCATCCAGCCACTCATCCCCAAGCCTATAGTGCTGCATGGGATTGTTGTGGCCAAAGTGCAGGACCAGGAACTTGGCCTTGTTGAACCTCATCCCATTTCCTCAGCCCAGCAATCCAGCCTATCTAAATCCCTCTGAAGGGCCTCCCTACCCTCAGGAGGATCGACACCACCTCCCAACTTGGTGTCATCTGCAAACTCACTGAGGGTGCACTCAATCCCCTCTGTTATGCTCACATTTACCTCTGGTGGGAAAGGATTGGTACGGGAGCTCTATCTGGCCCTCACAACAGAATGCATGCTGGTGTTGCTGGAGATATAGAGTGAATTAGCACAATATGACTTTATTGTATCATCTTCAAGAGAACTTTTGAAAAGATTTCTTTTCATCATACCTGCATTTTTCACCACTTTTGTCCAAAGCACTTGAAATCTAAAACAAGCCATTGGCAACGGGTTTAAGAGATGGGTGAGTGTGAAATGTCGCATGGCTGCAGAGCACCATTTTCTACACAAACAAGATCATGTCCATGCTTCGTGATTCCTTTCTTGTCAGCTGCTGAGAAGGCTGAGTCACTTTGTTCATCCTTAGAGCTGTCAAGGCAGGGGATAGCAGGAGGTCTCTCACATTTTCCACAGTGAAGAACTCTAAGATAAGGCACCATTACTCTCACTGTGGGATTAGGATCTGTAGCCCTCCACATGCCTCCTGCTCAGACTTCCACTTGGCCCGCAGCCTGTGTGGGCAAGTGGGGAGAGGCCCCAGCCCAGAGGGTGGTGAGCACTGGAGGTCATTGCACCCCAAATGCCAGATACCAGCAATATTACAGCTGTGCAAGGTTTATGTCTCAGGGAGTAACTTATTTCCAGTCACACTCTCTTTGTAATCGAGGTTGCCAGACTTATCTCTAGGAACAGGATTTCTTCTGGAAACAGGCCATTGTGAAAATACCCATATATCTACAAAATACACACTGCTTTCTTCCTTTGGAAAGTTGCATTTTGTCACTAAAAACAGGGTGGAGGTGTGATTCTGAGTTCCTCATCATCAAGCTTAAACTTTAAGTGGAAAACTTAGAGACTCCATTGCTAGTGTGCAATCAAACACGACAAACAGATTACAGTATCATTGGCTACCTCCCAAAACAAAATTTGTTGATGCTTATAAAGTCTGAAGAAAATGATCTCATGATAAAAACAGCAATCCAAATAAAGCCAGACAGACTCGAGTGATATTTATTGCAAACAGCTTTCTAGATGTCTGAAGAAACATTGTGCCACCCAAGTAGTCAATAAATTAAATGTCTTTTGAAGAAATGTTAGCAAGTAAGTGAACAGCTTGTTTGTCTTCAAATAAAAAGAGATACTACAAAGGAAGTAAAGCAGACTTCACGGGAAGAGCTTAATTAATATCCCTATATATTATCTTCCAAGAGAAGCAACAGAGAAGAAGTCTATATCAATTAACTGGGCAAAAATATCTGCTTAGTTAAAGGGGTGTAATTAAGAACCATGTCCTGAGAACTGCTTTTAGAGACCTTCTGCTGTTTAAAAAAAAATTATCTGGGACAAGTTTTCCACTGTGTAGTAGTTTCAGTAGCAATAGTTTGTTTGACTAAAATGTCTGGACAAAAAGTTTGCAAAGGATGCAGTCAATAACAGAAAAATGTACTTTCACATATTTGCATTAACCAGAATCCATACACAGAAGAAAACTCAGGTAGTGCTTACTTAGAGACTTAAGCTTATTCTGAGTAATAAATGCTGACACCCCTCCCTTCCTTCTCCTCCTCCATTTTCCCCTTTTATTTGTTTTCCTCCTCTGAAAAGCCTTAACAGAGATGCTCAGAATATAAATGAATAAAGTTGTATATATCCCAGCAGTAAATATAACGGGTAATGCAGAAAAGTCCATGAAAAAAATAATAGGTTTTGGACAGTACGTAACAAAGAAAGCAACAAAATTTGAGGAAAGAGAAGATAAATGGAATAGCAGCATTCAAAAAAAAAAGCCTCCATTCTCTAAGTTCAGTTTGTCACAGTGTGCACTGAGAAACGTGGCAGGCAATTAAAGAAGACTTTGCCACGTGCGGACATGTGAGTATGATTACAGATCTTGCACAGATCCAACACTTCTTAGTGTCTGAATACAATACTTAAAAAATAATAAAGTGTGATGCATTTATCTAAATGTATTGAATCATCTTAAAGAGTTACTCAGTAATGTACTTTGAATCCTTGTATTTCAGATTTTCATTTTTCTGTGAAACAGTATGAACAGTACACACTGAGAATATTAGGTGCACAGGAACTTTTAAAATGAAAATGGAAAACAGTAAGAAACCATTTTCTGGAGATGTTGCAGTCACGCCACCAAGATTCACATGACGTACACAAATTTACAGGCAGTGTTTATAAATTAAAATAACTGTTAGAATAAAAGACTCTGTAAGGAAACATTTAAACAAATGAAATATTCTGAAGTACTTTCAAATTAAGAACCAGTGGGAATGTGGGTGAAGCCACTGTTTCAGAGACCTGGATAGAAATTTCTTTCTGAGTTGTTCAACAACATTTCAACTGAGTCTCTGGGAGGAGTTTATACGACCCTTTTTCTGTTTGGATCAGTCATGCTGGTGCTTTATAAAGTGATAAAAGTAAGAATCTCAGATAATATCAATGTTTCACCACACCTTCTAAAGATTTATATTTATATTTTTAATGTGGCAATTTTTAATTATTAAAAAATTAGAAAACCAGATGGAATTACAAAACAGCAACAGGTTACTTAATCAACTTTTGCCTACTGGGATAAATAGATCATACCACAGGATATATCAAAGCAGACACTGATGAGACACTATACATTCCATTAGTATGCAGGAGTTTTCCTCTTCAGATATCAGTTCTTATCAGATATAAGCACATGGCCCATCAATCTTATTAAATAAACCCAACAACTCATTATGTTATAATCCATAGCATATAACATCATGGCAAAAATTAAAAGAAGTACACTAGATCTCCCCACATATCTGTGAAATCTGCCACCAAATTATTGGAGGTAAACAAAGAATGAAAAATAATTGCTGTTATTTTAATAAGGACTATGAAATTTAAGTTAGTTTGCAAATATTAATAAACCTCCTTTACCTGTGCAAGAGAGCCTTAGAACAAAAGTAATCAAATACTGAAATTTGTCGTGCTTGTTAAACAATGTTAGAAATATTCGTTAAGCTCTATTGCATGACATGAACTACATACATGGATAAAACAAGAAAACTAAGAGTGAATCAAAGTGCAAGCCTGTAAACTCATAATAAAATAAACATTCTTTACTTGTATGAAATAACTCCTGAACTTATTGCATTACTTTGTAGATTTTTGTAAAACTTTTCAGTATAATTTCCCAGGATGTGCTCTGAAATAAGAATGATTTCAAACAGGTTGCCAATACGCTTCAAAAGGAAGCTATACAATTGCTTTATTTGGCCAATCAATCATAGCTGATGAATTTCAAGATCCCTAAAATAAACTGATCGTAAATATTGCACATCAACTAAGTGTCTAAATGATGTGCAGTGATATCTTTAATGAGTGCCACCAAATAAATGTGTATGTGCATACATTTGGTTATTGCTATCAGAATTATCAGCCTACAATTTAATCTGGCCTACCAGAAGCCCACACAAATGGAAAAGAATACTTGCTGTGGATTTTTCACCAAGCTTCTAGAGAATGTTTGTTAGTACCTTCAGATTAATACCAGTTAGGTTTTGAACAGTTTCAGTCTCATGCTAGATGATGTAAAACAGATGAAAAAAATGTGTTATGCAAAATATAAGAATACAGAAAAAAAGAGTATTATTTACCGAATAGCATCAAGTAATCAAATTTATACCATACAAGCATCAACAGAAAATGTAAATGTACTAATAAGGTAGTATCAACCACTTTTTTTAGCTACTTGAGATTCAAAACTGCTAATCTTGTGTATGTTGCTTTAAAATGCATCAAGTATCTCTGTTTATGCACTATTTAAAAATTTGATAGTCAATGACTACAATGAAATGTATGTATAATACCTGAATTTAATATTTTAATACCTCAGGCCCACCCAGATTATCAAAGCATTTAGATTCTACTGCAAGGAAGATCTGGGTCTCATTATATACTAATCCCTTTCATGAAAGGAGTAGCTGGTTTTGATGTTGGGAATTTATTGTGTTGTCTTTCCTTATACATGGAAGGAAAGGGTCGACATTAAAGAAAGAGTGGTTTCAATAGGCTGAAAGGTTATGGTATTGTGACTACATGAACCACTTTCCCCAAACAACATAAAGATATTCTAACATTAAGGATTATGTTACAACTCAGTGGAAATATGCAGTAATGCAATCCGTTTCCTTTGTCTGAATGACAAAAATGCAGTCTTAACAGTCACAAGAGCCTGCCTTGTGTTAGCTATTAAAAAAAAATATATTTATATATATATTTATGCAACTACTATGTGCATTAAACAAAATCACTTTATGAATCAGCAGGGTTTAATAACACTTTTATCTGAATCTCTGGGAAGGATGCACTGAAGTCTGTGGTGCTTCTTAGGAAAGATTTTGAAATGGCAAAGAATAGAAACCCATTTGTTTAATATCTTCAGATTTTTTTTTTTTTTTTTTTTTATTATGCTGTCTAAGAAATGGTCTATAACATTTCTGTCGGATAAAAAAGATCTATTGCCTTGACTTTAGTCTACCACTCAGAAATGAAAGATTTCTCTTGAAAAGAACCTGGTAATTAATTTTTAATGAACATTGAAACTGAAAATCAGCCCAATTTCATTGTGAACTCCCATGAAATAACAATTTCACCACTGTAAAATTCTCTGTTGCCTTCATTTCTTATCAGTTTGTATATCATGAATTGTTTGAAAGGATATTGATGAGCAACGTACAAGAAACATTGTACTACTCCTGGAAAGCATATATATTGTGGTTTACTTACTCAGGTGGGTAGGCTATTTTAGCATTGAAAAGTGAGTGTACTTCCACATCTGTTTGTAGAAATATTGGAAAATTCTTTTATTTTTCTTTTTCACTTGCACTGAGATAATTTTCTCAATCACCTGTAAACACTGATCAGTGTTCTTTGCACTGAAAGTGTACAGATTTGTCACTCAGTCTTTGACATACCAGAGAAGAACACTTGAACGACAGGGTAATCCCCTTGTGCACCAAAGCTTTATTATATTTTTGATTACTGTGCACCACCATACTAAAGCCAATAATGTGGCACTTGTGCCATAGTTCTGATACCATAAGTGTCCACTGACAAGTGTTCTGCATGAACCACTGTGTCTCAGTCCACTAACAAAGGCTACTGTGCAATGGTAATCTGGTATCTTAGATAGTTTTTCTTCCTGAACAAAGCTTATCCAAAATCTTCTTACTATCAGCAGCTTAGGGCTCCTTTTCTTTATAGAGATGCAAAGTAAATGTCTTACACCTGTAGACCAGTACTGGTGTTCTGTCTTAAAAATTTTAGCACTGCTCTGATACAATGAAGCCTTCTTTTTCTCCGACTGGTTCCACTTCAGCATATGCAGGATGTCCAGATCCTCTTCTGAATTTCATTGCTGGCCATCTGCTCGGACGCCGCTTTAACAGCAACAAGAAAAAAAGAAGTTTTCAGAATATAAAGGGTACAACAATAAGTTAAAGTTTAAAAACTTTAATGATGAGCTGCACAGTCACCATTAGATGATAGGAGAAACACGCCCATTGCTCTTCCTGCCTAATAAAGAACTGAGATTTGCTCCATGGGAGATATGCTCCATGGGAGGCTGTGTTTCTGAGTCCACCAAAACCATACTATTTTTAATTATTTATATCACATTCTTTAATTCAAGACTGACTAAATAGTGAATTTTTATTCCAAATGATATAATTCATGAATACAGTAGGCTATGAGCTCAAACACAACAGGTTCCATCTAACCACCAGAAAGAACATATTTCCTGTGTGGGTGACAGAGCACTGACACAGGCTGCTCAGAGAAGTTGAAGAGTCTCCCCTTTTGGAGATATTCAGAAGCTGTCCAGATAGTCCTGGGTAGGCTGCTCTGGATGACTGTCCTTGAACAGGGACAGGTGGCACCAGATGGCCTCCAGAGATCCCTTCCAAACTATCATTCTGTCATTTTGTGATTCTAATTGAGTAGTTTACTTTGATGGTTCAAATGAAATCAGCCTTTTCATTTAAATTCTTTCTACCTTTGAATGCAAGGGTCTTAAGAGTTCAAAACCAATTTTCATTAGTGTCTGTGGTGATGGCTTTAAAAATAGCTAAGGGACTGAGAAAATACATTTCTAGAGCAGATAAAACAGTTCCAGATTGTGACGGCTATAGGAAGGGAAAGTGCTTTACACAACTTGGATTTTTCAAAGTGACTAACATCTGGGAAGATGCAGATTTGAGATGACCATGTTGAAATTCTGCCAGAGAGAACAGTTTTCAGGACAGTAGGCCACAACTCTTTCATAATGTTAGCTAACACAAAACACTCACCTAAAACGGTTATTCCTCATTGAAAATTTCCTACTACTAACTATGCTAACACATTTTTCTCTATTCTGACTACTGTTACAATCTGCTTGGAGGGAAGGCTGGAAGGTGTAGTAAGGTACGTAGAAACATTGCAGGAGAATAAGAGGAGAAACAAGGATGGTAAATTACATCCTATATTTTCATTGCTACCTCAAAATCAAAATATTCTTACTTCACTTTCTAATTCTAAAAAATAATATTTTATCTGATTTACTGTCCCTTTAATACTGCATTTTGATTGACTTCTAAACAGTGAGGATATATCATGCTGCTGAATGTCTGTACTGGGGGCCACAAAGCAGGCACAGCTATGACAGTATGCCAGAACTCACGGTGCTGTTGGGCAGCAGTCCTTACAGAAATCTTGGAGCACAGAGTTTTTCTTGGTGATCACTGTTAAGAAGATATAGTATGAAAGCAACTGGTTTATTTTTCTCCTGTTCCACAATCTGGTTGACGTTGAGTCATCCAGAGCTAAATTCTGTTTGGCAGGTAATTTAAAACGGCAGGCCTTTCAATGCAACACCTTTCTAAAAAGTAGGAAGGTAGAATCTTGTTTTCTTTAATGGATGTCTTTTCCTAACAAGCAAACTTAGTCTATTCAAAGTTTGGAGACTTTTTTTCTACCTAAGCTTGATTCAAATTGGCTTCAAAATTAAGAAGGATTGTTTGGTTATTGCTAAATAAAGGGGTCAGATTCTATTTTCAGACTCACAGAAGTAAATCAAGAGTAATTCAACTAAATGCATCTGACTTATTCCAGATTTACACCAGTATAAATGAGAATTTGACTGGAGAGTACTCTAAAGAAGAAAATGAAAATCAATGGAAAACTAGTAGGGAAGAATAATTAGAAACAGTCTCAAATGGCAGCATATAAAAATGAGCTGAGTCTTAATCTCTTAAGATGCTGATTTTAAAATGAATTCCTGATTAATTTCTACTTTCTTGCTACGCTCTTACAATCCGATTTTACCATTTTCTACTAATCTTTTTTTTCCCATTTGCCTTTCTACATGATGAAATGTGGTTAGTAGATAGATGTGTATCAGTTCTGTTGATACAATGGGATACAACATAAATAGCAGCTAATAAAGAAATCAACATATTTGAAGGTCATCTCCAAACATTTGTTGCAGTTTTATGTGGTTTCTCTTCATGCTCACTCTTATCATGGTGAGATTTTCCATTCCTACTGAAAGTCTGTTTAATTTCAACTCCTGTGGATGTGAGTGTTTTAAGTGGTTACCGATCTTAAAGCAATGACAAGTTAACAATTCATTGACTTGTCTATTGACCTCACAAAAGTCTTTAGTGACATTACAATTTTAATTGATAAAACCAAAAGCAATTTGATGCCAAGGGATAAATAGGTCCTTGAGTTACTGAAGTAGCTCAGGAAGAGCTTAATGCATTCTTGATTTTCTCTGCAAAGCAAAGTAATAAGTGGACTAAAAAACCAAAACAAATAAAAAAACTCCATGACCTAAAAAAAACCCTAATGAAACAATAAATGAAAGAAAACAGGAAGAACAAAAGCTGTGTACTTAAACTAATTCCTTATTTTTTTCATCCAATTTAACAGGAAAAAATACGCTTCATTCTCTGGAATTAGAAAATTAGAAGTCAGAGGAAATCCTCCAAGCTGCCGCTGAAGAGCTGTAATTCCTGCTTCCTTTCAGTGTGCAATGAAGCAGGAAAACGGAAATAGGATTTTTCTCATAGCTTCCACGAGTTCACTTTTTTAAGCAAGTGAGCTAGAGGAAAGCAGTTGTGACTAAGACATGTGTGCCTCAGTTTGCATAAGACTAATTTATTATATACATTAAATAAAACCCTTAGATTCTACTGAAAACGATAAGAGAAAATGAAAAAAATAGTCAATTGAAATTACCTTTCACACTGAAACTGAAATTTACCTTTCACATTTCTTACATTACACCTATCTACACTACTGTTGGTGGCTGCAAAGTCAATATGACTTCCTATGGCAATTATTAAAGCTAGAAAAAGCACCTTCATGTAAATATTGGTGTAGGGGTAGAATGGACAGTCTCACTTCTGAGAGAAAAACTAAAGTGATTACACCTCAAAATACTAAAAGGTTGAAGCAGGAGTATCTTCACACTGTTGTTTCATTGAAAGATCTCCAAGTTCATTCTCATGGTTGATCAGATTCTTCTTTTGATATCCTTTAACATGAGGGAAGATTGAGCCCTATAGAGCTGCTATTGTCCATTAAACAACACGATTTCATTAATAGGTGATTAAAAAAAACAATGAAAATTTTATGAGATTTAAAAATCTATATTAGAAAATAATACAATTAACTGAGTACACATAAGCAAGAGAGGAAGTCTACTTTGTACCTACCATAGGCAAATAGAGAGTAAACAACTTACTAGATCAATACAGGACAGATATTGTCCAATACAGCTTTATCGGATTACTATATTTGAAAATTGATGACCCTCTTCTTCCTAAGGAACTGAGAGGTTTTGGTGCTAACATTATATACTATCTCTAACGTTTCTTATAGTTAAGCAACACTTTTCACTGGAGATAGTAATTCTTTAAAAGCAATTGCAATAATATGTTTTGTTAGCTGCAGTAATTATTAACTGTTACCCTTCATTTAATACAGCTGCATAAAAGAGAATTTTCTGTCAGCAAAAGACAGAAAAACTTAATATGTATTACATCTTTGAAATTCTTACATCTTATCCCATATTTTTTTCATGCCACCCTCATCCTAATTTTCATTCCATAAATAAAAAGGAACAAGCACAATTTTATACAGATCTGAAATGTCAGGAGAATGATAAAGAGAAAACATTGTTAAAAATCTGCCCTTTTGTCATGTCTCCACCCTTGTCACACACACACACATGCTGCAAATCTTCTATAAGATCATTAAAAGTTCTGTTATGTGTAAAGTAACCAGATAAGAAAGATAAAGGTTGTTAGCATGTGGATCAACTCTTCGTTCTCATCCATCAGTAAACTTGAACTGTCAGTTTCATCAAAATACAGACATATTTTCTCCAAACGTAGCTTATGCAAGTACAAATACTTGACAGTGTGAGAAGTAAACTTAATTTTCCACTTACCAATACAAAAGCTGAAGTTATTGAGTAGAATCAGCATAGAATCAGTTAGGCTGGAAAAGACACTAACATTATCTAGTTCCTCTAATGCCCACTAACCATGTTCCTCGCTGCCACATGGACGTGTTTCTTGAACACATCCAGGGACAGGGACTCCACCACTTTCCTGGGCTGCCTGTGCCAATGCATTATCATTCTTTTCCAAGAAGGAATTTTTCTTAATATCCAACCTGAACCACCCCTGGCATAACTTAGGGCAATCACCTCTTGAGTAGTTTTTAGGCTGAATGCTTTGATCCAACTTTGTCTTCGCTATTGATTATTTTCCTGTATTTCAAATCTTTTATATTTTCAGGACTATTTCACTGCTTCTTCTGAAGGTTACATCTTACTTATACATTGATGTCCAATTCTTTACTTAATTCAAATGTATAAATGTATCAAAGTCTATTTAAAAGACTGCCATAAACACATCCTTAAGTCTGGAAGTGTGTAAATACAGAGCTATCTAAATACTGGATTAATTGTTAGAACTCTGGACAAAGTGCAAAGACTATGAATTAAGAAAAAGGAGAAAAATATAGTAAAGTCTATTACTAATGTGTTAACCTGATGTCATCAAACTCTATTAGCACTCATCTGCTGTTAATCTACCTGGCTATTCAAGCCTTTTATACTCTCAAGACAAGGAAAGCATGTTTAAATTTATGTGAAATAATGTTTAAGTAGCTACTATTTATACGCCAGTCTTTAGTCTCTACTACAAACATCTACTTTCCTTGGCAAACTGCAGTCAGAAATGGAAGGTGCTTCAAAAACTGTATCTGAAACTGTATATCTAGAAATAAGATCAATTGCCTGAAACCACATTAATTTAACATTTTGAAGAAACTGTTCTGACAAAGTAGATTGCTTTAGACGGTAAGATTCAGTAGTATCATTTAC